TATATTGTTTTTTCTCACGTCAAATTCCCAGGCGCGCTGAGCGGTGCAAAACAAGCTACTTTTTGAACAGCTAGGAAGCACACAGAAAATGGAAAAAATAATTGGAAAACTATGATTCCTATAGATTTTTGTACCGGCTATCTGCTGGTGTTATTCGTTTTCCAAAAATTTCCCATTTTCACGTTGAAAATTCGAAACGAAAATTAATTTGTAATTTTTCTCAATGATAGCCATTTTTAATATTCTTTTAAGTATACAATTTGCAATATTCTTTTAAGTATACAGTTGACAGCTGTCAAATCAACTGTCAATTTCTCTAAAGCTAAGAAAATCATTTTTAAAAGCCACTTATTAAGTTTTCAAACACGCCAGTCAAGAATTTTATGTCAAAGGTTATGACCGCTGCCAATCGGATTGCCAAATTCTCTAAAACTCAGATTTTTTTTAATGCCACTTATTATTAAATTAAAATTTTGACAGCTGTCAATTTCTCTAGAAATAGGAAATTTACCCAAAAATGAAACCTACTAGAATTTAATACACACTGATCTTGAATTATATATCACGATTAAACCATTTCAGTTAACAACTGTATTTTTTTTAAATAGGAAAATCTTTAAAACTGCCCTTTTTAGGACTTTTTGCAGTTGAGTAGCAAAATATTTTTGCTTGGTATTTTTGATTTATTTTAATAAAGGAAAATATCAAAATTAAATTAATTTAGAATTAAATTATGAAGCAAAAACAGTAATTCTATTTATAAAGGGTGTTTGGCAGACAGTTGAAAAAAATCCAATACGAAATTCGTCATTTCCAAAGTTCAAACCTAAACAACTTTATTTTCCATGTAGAATTTTCAAAAACTTATTCGAAATTTGTAATGAGCGAGCTTAAGAACCTATATATAACAAATTTCATGAAGTCAATAAATTCTTGGAAGCCATATGGGATTCGCTATTTTAAATTTTCGAAAATTGAATTGAGATTTGTTAAGACGCTTCTTATAAATGAGGCCATAACGGCCAGATGAGCCTAGTATGTGCAACAAATTTTTTTTTTAGTAATATGAGAAAGAATTGAATTTTGGGTTTCCGCCTAAAGAAGATGTTGAGGTGTTTTGACCTCCCGATGTTTATGGAGGAACCTTCTAAAAGTGGTGACTGATGGGGAACTTGGTGATCATCTCACCTTCAGTAAATCCGCACTTTGCAAAATCTAAATCCGAGCTAGCGATATGCTTTTATTACCATTTTTCTCCCGCAAAATTAAAGCTCATAGAAAAGTGTTAAGGTTTATCCAAATTACACAGTTATGCACATTCACGCATTCGTAATTGATTTCGGTAGTATCATATTTAGAAAAAATTTGTTTGATTTTCATATAATGATCATATATGATTTTCATATGATAAGCTCTCATTTTCAAAAACATACAATCTTTATTTATGCATGGGTGGGCATATATGTATATACTCCGGTAGCTGCCTTTTTCCAACGATATAATTCAAATAAAACAATAAGAATCTACATGCAACAAAAAGAAAAAAATCGGTACATGATTCTACACTAAATTAACTGGATTAAGCACACAAGTAAAGAAAAAAAAAAATGTTAAGCCATAAAAGAAAACAGGCATAAAAAATAAACACTTGAAATTTACATATGTATGAGTACAAAAGTGGAGCTGATACAAAGTCAATGCAGCAACAGTTCAAAAAAAAAAAAACATGTAAAATAAAACGCAGCTTATAATAACACTAAGTGTATTTCGCTTTAAGCAAATACGCAAATATGCGAGCACGTATTGTATTTGTAATTAATATCTAACCAAAGTCCAACAGCCCGTAGTCTCATCGCGCCGAAAGTAGCGTGGTCGATTGTCCCGGAAAACCGTGATTGCGGGAAATTGATTATCCTGTATGAATTTTATAGTGGCGCGTATCTGCGGGTGTTAAAGAGTTTGACATTTTTTTTTATATTAAAGCGATAAATATTATTTTTTAGCATCTCTTCCAACACTCTTACCTGCATAGTGAAATGCGGCGGCTCGACATCTGGACTCGTCGACAAATGTTGCAATAAGAATTCATCTGTTTGCGAGAGCCACAAATCAGCGCCACGTAACGGATCATAGTTAAAGGGGCCGATGCGTAACATGCCCAGCGATGAGTCGTATATGTCCAGTACCTGCAAAAGAGAGAAGTTATATGTAAGAATATGGCTGTGGTGAATAGAATAGCCTGCGAAAAAAAAAATAAAAATTTAATTTTCACAAAAAACAAAACTAACCGTTTGTGCACCCATAAAATTTCGTGCATCACGCAATTGCCTATCCGGTCCTCGGTCTGGGAATGTTGCTGGGAATATTTCCCCGGTTTTTATATTGACGCCAACCCCATAAATTATCGGGTAGTTTATGTCGCCGCGCAGTATAGTATTCAGCTCACCGACGCAGGCTTGAGTTAGATCGATCTCGAGATGATGTTTGTGGAATGATTCTGAAATATTGGAGAAAATTATTATTTAGTTACATACATATGTACATATGTGTATGTATTAAAGGTTTTTCAGTTAACGAGAGATGTGAGTTAAAAAAAATTTTTTTTCCTTTTTAATCAAAATCGTTAGAGCCTTATATATATACATTAGACTGCATCACCAAAAAAAGTTGCGGATTTTCCGCCGGGATTACAAAATTTATTATATTTTAAGAGGTCCACCAAAATATTTCGGAAAAATATTAAGATTTAAGCGAGCTGGACCGATTTGAAAATACCTCCAAAAAGGAAGTTTTCTATGAATAAAAATAGTTTCTTAAAGAACTTTTTGAAAAAAAGGTATTTTCAAATCGGTCCAGCTCACTTAAATCTTAAAATTTTTGCGAAATATTTTGGTGGACGTCTTAAAATATAATAGATTTTATAATTCCAATGGAAAAATAGTACCGAGTTTTTTTTTGTATGGGGAGTGATGCAGTCTAATATACATAATGCATTGTCGACCAGTCACATAAATCAAAAGAAGAATTTTCCAATGCATCCAATTAGTAGTGTTTCCACAAGGCTCCTCTCTCACGGCCGGTTTAGGATGAGCTGGAATTGCAGGTCTTTAAACTATTATTCCATTCCGGCCTAGTATGGTGATTTACCATTTGTCGAATCTCAACAATGACATCTCTATTGCTGGGCACCTTGATAGGAAGTAAGCGATAGCGCAGGAAGTTGTTTTAAGTTGATGATAATCCATTTCCCCGACTCGGGGTTTATCCAACTCAGGGCAGTCATTTCAGCGATCTAATTCTACCCTACTATCTTTTATTACCTTCTTGTCTATACTCTCCGAGTGTATTTCTGCCATGAAAAAAACTGTTCATTAAAACCATTGCCTTTCGAGGAGAACCTCGGCCAAGCACTAGCAAACTTGTAAGCGTCAAATATTTATTTAAATTTGTAGTTCCAAAAATTTATTTAAAAGAATTACAAAAAATGCTTAATCTCCACGGAAAAAGAGTTGACTTGGGTCACCCGCCAACTGATAAAAAAATATGCGCCAAAAAAAATATCTTCATTTTCCTTATTTCGATAACTTACTAAATATTTATCTGGGTTTCAATGCTTTAAAGTTTATATTAGTATTTTTCCGCTTAAGCCAGTGGAAACCTTTTATTTTCCTCACACAACAATGTCCACTACATACTATTTATTATTATTAAGAGTGTATAAACACATTTGCCACAAAAAAATTCAATTTACTTACGCATTATGCTATAGAAAACGTCTTCGCCATATCCTTGCGGATCTCGGTAGCCACCAATTAATTGTAACTCAATACGTCCTTCCGGATAACCTAAGGCCAACTCTTGAACGCGTGCGACCATTGTGCAAACAGCTTCATCCACACCGGTGCCATCAAAGTGGGCCAAAGCTACAGCGCCTGAACCTATGCAACGGCAGCGACGACAAAGAACACATAAAATACATGTAAGTAAAAAATACTTATTAAGGATCAACGGCAAATAAACATAAGAAATACTTTTGTTACATGAATGGCGAGTATGAAAAGAAAATCATCTTTTACGGCTTTGGTAAAACGAAGCCAATTTGAACAAAGGCAACAAATGCCGTCTAAGACAAGTTAGCTTACACGACCAATATTCATATACATATACATATGTACATAAATACTATATGCACAATGTGCATTTATTGTTGTTGCACTTTACATACCTGAATGCCTGACCATAACTATGATGCACGTTGTGGCATCATCGGCGCCAATAATGTTGATGTTCTTGTCGTGCGGCGCAGCAGCGGCCATTTCACGTTGGCCCACATAGAGTAGTCCCACGGGACCAACGGATTTTGTCGGTATGGAGAGTAGTTGTTGGGCATAATCTCTGTATACAGGGTGTTGCAGGAATAGACTGTTTGTATCCATAGGACAATCGTCCTGCAAAACACCATTCAATACCAGCACCATTTTGTGGTTTTTGTTTTTGTTTTTGTTTTTGATTTTCTTTAATAACTATAAATAATTCTTCAAAGCGACTTTGTTGCTGTTGAGATAGTCGTATTTTCGTTGTTGCACGAGTAAATGTATGAGTAGTAGGTATGTGAGAGAGAGTAGCTCCGTATTTTATTTTTAATTAAATTCAGCTAAAAGGTATTAAATCTGTGGGCGAGATAAAAAGAAATTCGAAATTAATTAAAATAACATTCAGTTTTCATTAGATAGCTGTAAAAGTTTTTTAAATACTAGTACATATGTATGTACAGTCAATAGAGCCACTATATGTAAGTGTACTTGGAAAAAATTCCACACAAGATACAAATGGTACCATGATGTTCAGAAAACTATTTTAATCAAAATAAGAAAATTTTGTTTCTCTCAATTGGACAGGAAATATTTTTAAAATGAATCAATTACCGCACAAATGTAGTATATGGTCGAAGTTTCTTGAAACTTTACACCTACAACGATCACCTCACAGTGATTTCAAAAATGAAATAGTTTTTTTTGTACCGGTTTACAATTATGAAAAAAAGCGGAGTGATCACGGTCATTTCTTTTATTATGGTCATTTCAACTATATGAAAGCTAGTGTTAAGAGAGTTTCCAACTGAAGTGTAATTTTTATAAGCGAGACTTCGATATTTTTCGTATGCGGCCATTGTGGTGCCGTGGTGCAACAAATGCTGCTGGTCCCTTGCTATATGCCAAGTCTAGCCAGATCTAGAAATGAACCTACTACCTCGAACTAACTATGGATCCCGATGAGTATGAGAAATTTACAACACAAGACTATTTCAGCATGCGTAGGTCAGATAAGAAATGGGCTGGTCTCTGGACTGATAAAACTGTCGGGCAGACTCTTATGCGTAGAATGAAAAAATCAACTGGACGTGGTATCAACAAGGAAAATGTATTGGCGAGATGGCTGCTCGGGATGCTAGTCGCCTATGAAGTAATCGAGGTCTTCGAATCATTCTGCGGAGTAAGAGG